GAGAAGAAAGAAGAGGTAAAAAAGTGTAATCCCCTACAATTCGATGAACTTGACTTATACTTTTGGATATAATAGCTTAAAAGAGGGAACGAATCTTTACAGCAAGGATCATTCCCACTGCCTCTGTACACAGGGTTGACAGGGATGGGCATCTTAGACATTGGATACTTAAAATAGGGGAGGGGGGCTACAAAGGCACACTGTGGCTAATGTGTCAGTCTGCAAAGTCATTTGAACTGCGAGGTCGGTGGTTCAAGTTCACCAGCTGCTCCTTGGAAACCCAATACAGTGTCGCTATGAGGTGGAATCGACTGGACAGCACTTAACAACAACAACAAAGGCACAAAGTGACTGACTTACAAGTTTTCAAGAGGAAGCCTAGTTTCAGAGGGTGCGGGGGAAGGTAGAATCTCCACTGAGTAGTTTCCAGCCTGTCTAGATGGGGTTGGTGAAAGGAGATGGGGATAAGACTTGTGACTCAATAGTGAATAACTGATATGAGGATTGATTGCGATTGTTCCAAATGTAGACGTTTTATAAAAAAAAAAAAAAAAAAAAAAACCGGAGTGGTTGATCTTACAGTCCAGGCAGAAATAGAGGACCCTGGGACCATCAAGGGAGAAGAGTGGAGTGTGGGACCCTATCCAGAGAAGCAGCAATGCCAGAGACGGAGACAAGAGATGATGACGTGGAGCAATGGAGCGGCTGGAGACTCTAGACTCAAGGAGGGAGAGGGGTTGTGTGCTGGCCCCGGGGGGTTGGCTGGCTTACAGGGTATACCCGTTGGTTGTTTGAATGGTTATATATTCCTGAGTGCTTCGGTGTACATTTGAATACAAGCCCTCTTGTATTTAAAAAAAAAAAATCAGAGGGAATGGAAGCAAATGCTGTTGAATGATGATGCATGGAAGGGATTGTAATCATTGCGATGAAATACAATAGGATGAATGTAAAGCTGATATTCTCCCATGTAAACTAACACTCAATTCATAATAAATACTTAAAAAAAAAAGTTCTCTGGCTTAATTTGAACTCTGAAATTCTAAGCCTAAATTAGAAACATCGCTAACTTCTTTTCCAGAGAAAAGCTGTAAAAAGAAATGTGATTTCAAAGGTCAACCTAATTTTATAGACATCCTAATATCTGGTGGAAGTTGCATTTTCCAGTTGAATCAGTATTGGATGTCGTGTTAAAGTGTCATCAAGTAGGTTCTGACTTAGGTACCCAGTATAGGGTTTCCAAGGGGCGACTGGTGGATTTCAACCACCAAAACCTTGTGGCTAGCAGTCCACACCAGGACTTGAGTACTCAGACACGCTCACAATACATAGTGATTAAAGAGAATTATAGCAAAGAAATTAAAATGAATGTGAATAGAAGCTATAATTGGGAAACTTTTATTTTACCAAAATAAAATTTTCAATCATATTTAAGAGAACCAGTTATTGAAAAGAAACCCATTTCATATATTCTGTTGGTTTTGTTCCTCAGGAGAACCCAAATGCAGAGAGCATGCTAAAACTAACATTTTATTAACAACAAAAAAAGCAAAAACACACTTCCTATGGATCTTTCTTGGGTGGTTTTCATTTCTAACTTTAGCAAAATTTCTATTAAAATGGGTCATATTCACAGAACTTACCCTCAGAACCAATGTCAATTTTTAGCCATGTATAAAAATAAACATAAATCTTGATTTCACACTCCCCCCAAAAAATCAGAACACAAAGAGAGAATAGACTTGGATCTTTTATTTTTTTTAAAGATTATCTATATATATTAATAAAAAGTGTAAAGAATAGACCTTCATGTTTAAATTATATTCTAAAATAAAATATATATATATTTCCATTAACTGCAGGAGACAACTGGCAAGTAAAGAGCCTGAGAGAGTCCAGTCCCTCTCCATCACTACAATGGACATATATTTTAAGGAAGCACCTATGGAAAACAGGAGAGTGTTCAAAACACATCTGGTAACACAGATAAGCTTCTGGGTGTTCTTGACAGCAATTTGTTAGCATTTTCAATCAAACATGAAATGAAGGGAAAAATCAAATTCATAAACAGAAATGGCATTGCTTAGAACAATCTAGTTATCTGTATTCATGTTTTACATGCCCTGGAGCCTAGCACTTCCCATTGTAGCAAGCTACAACTCATATGTACACTAGAAAAAGCTATTGGCGGTGTGCCTCCGGGGGTGACTGCCAAGCAACCAGCGCAACAAGCGCTCAGAACACTGCTTTTTAGCAACACAGCTGCAACATCTGGTTGGAAGTGAACTGTCACGTTTTTAAAGTAAACAACATTTTAAAACATAGCATCAGAGCATCCAGCCCTGTTCCATAGAGCTCACATGTTTGGGACTTAATTTTCACCAAAAGGTTTCACAAATTAAGAGGTTATTATATCCGCTGCTTTTATTATGTATTTGTGGCTATGGTGGCAATAAGGTTGCAGAAACAGATACATTTTTAATGATGAAAAAAATGGACTGTTATTTTCTTTAAACCAGTTTGGGAAATCCCAGAAATTCCATTTTTAAAAACTGATTTTTATTGTGATTTCAGCAGCTCACATGTAGATCCCTAGATCCATGGTCTGGGTTTGGTTTTTACTACTTTTCCTTTTTCATATGTGCAGAGTATCTGTCCAGAAAAGACATGTTCTATCTACTGTGCCTATAGCAAACTTAACTGTAATACTGGCTTTAGCAGCATTTTGCCTCGTAAATATCGATAATATGCTTTCACTGGATCTGGACAAAGTCCATATTAAGATACAGATAAGCTGTAACCGGTCAGAGCTCTACAAGTGGACTCATAGGTCCAGGGTCTCTCTTCTCCTTCTTTTAAGCCTGTTATAAAAATAACTTTGGTTACAAGTGTCTACACGGCACCAATTTTATTTCAAAAGCAGCATCTTTACTCAGCCACCCAAATGACTACACAAGCACACATGCTCAAATAGCTTTTCTCACTTACTGCTGTTCTATAACTCTAAAGACCTGTAATTGTATTAGATTTTTCTTAATCAAAAATTATTCAGCAATTTTAAAACCATCAATTACAGTGCTCTAAAAATACCCACATCCACTGAATTAAATGAGAAGTTCCCCTTACATGCAACTGTATAATAAAACAAGTATACCTGCAGTTGATGAACATTGTGTTCTATAGTAACAGAAAACACAGGTCTCTAATAGTAAAAAAGCATTTCATAAAACTTTGTCATATATAAAATATCTTATTAATATGACCATTCCACTTATGATTAAAGCACAACCTAAGTGTTGGCTCTGCCTTCTGCTGTGGGACAGTCAGGGGTCACACAACCTCAAAAAATAAAAGTACATCTGTTTCCCAGGCTGGCAACAGCAACAAGCTCAACTGCACGGCCTCTCAAGCTTGTCTGCACTCATACGCACATTCACAAAGCACCCACGGTTTTAATCTTCATGACACTGTTGCCACCATGCTTTTTCCCACTTGTGAAAATCTGTCAGGAAAATGTGATTGCAAAATAATTATTCTTGTCTATACCCAGCCTGGATCTCCATTGCTCATTTTTGTGATTCTGAAAGATAAAAGTCTGCAGCAGAAGGAGAATAGGCCTCATTCATCTTTCTCAAACCCTTTGGTTTCCACCTTTAATGTTACAGTGAACGTAGATTTGACTCAGTATGTCTGAGTCAAAGGCTTTACAGCTAATGAACCTGAAGTGCATTAAGAGAATACGTATCTGCCGTTACGGCAAAGGAACATAAAAAAGTAGCAATAATAAACTCAACTCCCCATATGTGAAGAATTTATGATTCATTCAAAATCTTCTTAAGAAATTAAAGAATTTGTAGGGGGGTGGAATCATGTAAGAAAGGTCAAAATGTCAAATGCAATCAGCTAATGATTACGTTCTTTGGAAAATACTTCATGTGTACAGCCTCTGCCACAGTTTAGTTATTTCTCAAGTTTTCCATCTGTCAACACATATGGATCAAGAAAGATATATATGAAAAACGGATTCTCTCCTGATTAACAAAAGAATAAAAGAACAAAAAGATGTCAGCACAGGTAAAGAATCAACTTTCAAAGAAAAAGGGCTTTAAATACGCTTTTGCTAAAAATATGACTTAAGAGATAATTTTGAAGTTTTGATACTTATACTTAACTCAGAGTTCAGACAGGAATGTTCTTCTATTGGGGCAATGCAATTGAAATGTAAAACAAAAAGAATTGTTCTAATTGTGACATCATAAAATTCCAAGGACAAACTGGGAACCAATGCTCCCTTGACTAGACTTTCCTACTTCAAATGGAGGCCACAGGCAGGAGTTGGCACACTAGTCCTCCCACATCTCCCTACTTCACTCCCTCACACACACCACAGTTTATTAGCTCATTCCAACCCTCCTGGCACATAGATCCATTACCCTATTGGATTCTCCATAAACTCAGCCTTCTATTCCCAGCAGTTCAAAGTAATGAAAAAGAAGCAGATGATGAAATGCAATCATTGAAACAAACAAAAAAGGAACTCTAGAGTCTGAAATATTACATGTTTCTGAAGCAATGGTTGGTATAATATGTGAGGAACATTAAAACTGAGATAGTAACACACAATGCAATCAGTCTGTGCTTCCAGAAAAACAGCACGTTTTTGTGGAGTTTTAACTCTCCATCTACTCTTCCCTAGGATTCTTACAGAGTCATATGGTACTTAACTGAGACCTGAGATCAGAACCAGGTTGAAAAATGCTGAAAACACTTTAAATTGTTTCAAAAGGGAGCCATAAGAAAGCTCACCCAAGTGAGAAATAAATTAGTTTTAGAATAAAACTATTAGGTAAACATGTGTTGACACAAGTCAAAAAACTGAAGCAAAAGGGAAAAGGAGGAAGAGGAGAGAAAAAGGAGGAGCTCGGAGGAAGAAGTGCTGGCCCTTCCTGTAGTGATTCCACAGTCTCTCCTGAGGGGCTGTTCTGTCTGTGCTCTCCTCACAAATCCCGGTAACACAGTAAGAAGTCGGTGAACTTAGTTGTTTCCTTTAGGGAGGGCACATGGACTGGAGAGCTGGCCGATTCTGCTGCTTCAGCCAAGAAGTTTGTACTAGAAAATACCAAAAACACCCCCTACGCAACATAGGGGAAAAAAATATACAAAACCCCCCCAAACCTATACCAAACAAACAAAAACAACCTTGTTCCTCCTAAAGAAAACCATACTGGAAACAATGCCCTGCAAGGAGTCCTTCGGCATGTTTCTACTACAGGGCTGGTAGAGGAGGTTATTTCGTTTTGGATTCCACATAAATTTTATCCCCATCCCTAATGCCAAAGGAATGCAATGCCCGAGAGCTGTACTTCATTTCCTCTGGGCCAAAAGGAGCTTCGTGGTCAAAATGGTAGAGAAGCATGTTGCTTGTGGGCAATTGCACTAGAGTTTTTAATTGTTTCTTTAGTTCTGCAACTGTTTGGTCCAGACGAATGCTAATTTCTTCCACCTGATCATTAAAATGAACTTCTACTTTTGCACTGCTTTGGGGTCTTAGGTCCACTTCTGCCAAAGGCTCCAGCTTCCCATATTTTGTGATCAGTTCATGATACCTAGAAGGATTAAAACAAAAGCAGTATCAGTTTAAACTCCTAGCACATAAAGAATGAACTTCAACATAACTACAAGTAGACTACACTGCTACCATCAACCACATCATTCTCATAGTCTATGCATGTGAGTGTGTGTGTGTGTGTGTGTATGAAAAGATAGAACCCCCAGAATTCAAAATGAAGAAAGGGAGGAAAATCCACAGCATACTGACTAGAGCGATGTGGAATATTGGGGTAAGAAATCAGCCAAGAGAAAGGTTGAGAAAAAGCCTCATGGACCACAATCCTCTACCTTCCATTGCAAAGAAACAAAAAAAGGAACCAAACAAACAAAACCAGCAGGGCATGATTTTCCAAGGCCCCAAACTGAAAGGAAATGATTCAAAACCTAAGGGTATCTTTCCCCAATCCTATCAACTACTGTATGCTTTGATATAAATGAAACTAATTAACGATAATTTAACAAAATTTCAAAAACAAAACAGCCGAATTCAGGTGGTCAAATAAAAATAAGAGCTAAATTCAAGAGCAATGTCTTTCCCTTCATAGTACAAAAAAGTGGGCAGAACTGTGATACTCTGCCTAGAAGGAAAAGAAGAAACAGTGGCAAAGGTGTCAAGGAGAATTTACTCATGGTGTGGCACTAAAGGATAATGCACTGGACAGCAAGGTCAGTTTGAGCCACAAGGTCGGCGTTTCAAACTCACCAGCCACTCCTTGGAAACTGTATACAGGGTCGCTATGAGTTGGGATCAACTCTATGTCACTTAACAATAACAACAACAACATTTCAGCAATGAGATGGTCTAGAAGAGGGACCCATTATTAAGCAAAAACAAGAAAGAAAGACACAGAATGGCAATGAAGCAAAAACAATTCGGGAAACAAACACATTAAGCAAATGGCAGAGACAGAACTCAATTTGAAACAAACAAGGAAAAAGAAACAGAAATGCCCCACAAATGCTTCAAGTTACAGAAATTAATAAGTGCCAGAATATAACAAACCAAGCTCAAAGACATATGGTAGACAGCACAGTGTGACCAAAGGGGAGATTGCAGAGCGAATCAAACAAACGAAGGAACAAAACAACACCATTACTGACCAAATAAATTAGGAAGCATAACTCTAGGATGTTCTACCTTGCCAAGTTTTGTTCAGGGATAAATGTGACAAGTCTGAAAGAAGAACGAACTCAAGGAACAGAGCACCTGAGTCCGTTAAAAAAAAAGGGATTACTTAGCAAAGATTGAGTGGTGAGCCCGGAATCTATTCAAATCTAAAACTAAACAAGTGTGTCTCTTTTAAAACTGTATATTGTATTCCTTTATAAATGTAAAAATAATATAACCAATAAGAATCAGGAGATGAGAGGAAAAGTGGAAATCTTAACAATGCTATCTAAAATTGAAATACTGAATCTAAAAATAAAAACTCTGACTTCAAAACATTATTCATGATTTTTTCTCTGAATCTTAGAGAAAATCTCTTAGAAACGGATTATCTTCTTATTTGAAGAAACCTTTATGTGAAGCTCAGTGTTGCTTTAGTTTTTTCCATCCTACTAAACTCAAGTAAAATTACATTTAGTAGTCTGCTGAAAATAGTGTAAAAGCCAAAAACCAAACATGCTGCTGTTGTGTCAATCCTGACGGATAGCAACCCTACTCCTATAGGGTTTACCAGGGCCGTAAATCTTTACAGAAGCCACATCATTCTCCTGCTGAGGGACTGATGAGTTTGAACTGCCAACCTTTTGGTTAGCACTTGAGCATGGAACCACTGCACTACCAGGGTTCCTATTAAAATAGTATAGACAGCATGCATAGTATAATTTCAGTTTTATTGAATTAATGCCTTCAACTATCCAGCCACTTACCTCGCTTCCTTCTTTGCTGCCAACCTACCTACCTACCTAAGTACCTTCTCCCTCCCTCCCACCCTACCTATGTATCTCCCTCCTCAACAGCTGTCTGCTAGGATGTTTCCCTAACTAATTATGCTGCTTTATTTCTTTTGGATGGTGGAATTCTGGTTTTATTGCTCTTTCATCTACTTTTCTGTATGCTTTACTATTTTTAATAGTGAACTTGCTTAATGTTTTACAAAAGAATAAAGCCATTGTTTTTTGTTTTTGTTTTAATTTTTAAATGCCTGGTTCTCTGATACCAAGCTATTACTGATATCTACTGAAAGATCAATTAGCACACATGCCTGACGACCTCATGCTGAGAGTATCAGAATCTACAGGCACAATTGAAAACTTCATTTACATCTATCATCTGTATCCTTCCTGCAGGCACACTAATGGAAGATGTAAGTGAGGTGACCTTCTTTGCAGTTGTGCCTGGCACAGTGCAGAGCATCCTGAAGATGAGATTCTAGATACTTCTGAGAGGACTAATAGTGATTTATACTGATTCTCATCTACTTGCAAGATGACTGAGAGATTTGAAGGGTGCTAAGAGTGCTTACAAGGCGCTCTGGTAGCGTAGTGGTTACGAATTGGGCTGCTAACCTCAAGGTCAGCAGTTCGAAACTACCAGTGGTTCTGTGGGAGAAAGATGAGACATTCTGCTCCAGTAAAGATTTACAGCCTCGGACACCCTGTGCAGGGTCACTATGAGTCGGAACCGACTCTACGGTACTTAACAACAACAACAACAACAGTGCTCACAGGCACTCTGGTGGTACAGGGGTTAAAGGGTTCAACTGCCAACCAGAAGGTCAGTGGTTTGAACCCACCAGCTACTCCATGGGAAAAAGATAAGGCAGTCTCTTACATAAGGATGCTAGCCAACAAGTAGAACCATTGGGGAAGTTCTACTCTGGGTCACAGTCCTACAGGGTCACTGAGTCGGAGCCGGTGGCTATGGGTTTGTTTAAACAGTGGTCACAGGATTACAAAACCACTGTTAGTAGCTCAGCCACTGTGAATTTATAATCTCATAATACCAATGGTATAATGGTATACTATATAGACTCATTTCTACTAGGCATTATACCATCTGAATTGATCTCAACCATTAACATATTTGCACATAAAATTATGACCCACAGGTAGACATTAGCCTATTTGTAACAACTGATGATGTCCGTCTAGCTACATAGTAAATGACCTATAAATGGGACACTCTGAGCTCCCAGTTTTCTCAAAATCACCATGTCTAAAAATAATTTCGTTGCCACTACCCAACCATCTTCTCTTCTAGTCTTCCTTATCTCTGTAAACGACACCAGAAACTACCCAGCTATCCTGGCCAGAAACTGGATAGTTACCCTTGATTCCACCCTATCTCTTTTTTGCTCTTCTCCCATTTAGTCAAACATTATGTCCTATTCATTCTTCCACCTAAATATCATATGAATTTATTTGTATCTCTCTTGCTCACTTGCCTCATAAATTCAAGCCACTATCACTAATAATCTGAATTGCTATAGCTTTCTATGGATGAACAAACTAGATGGGCTCCCTCAATCTCTGTTCCAACCCTTTCTGGTACGCCTTCCTGTACTGCAAAGTCTGGGAAGCTGAAGTCTACATTTCCCATACTCCATTGCAGATTAGATTTAGATTCTATCAGTCACATTCAATCAGACCTGGTAGAGAAGCAGTGCATTTAGCCAACAAGGGTGTGGGAACAGGCTGCTAAGTACTGACTGCAGTTCAGGCAATGCATTCTTGGAGCCAACAGTGCCGACAGTAGCTTGTTGATATCCAGATCATGACTACAGTGGTAGGTGGAGTCCTAGTGTGGCACTGAGGGGATAATGCTGCACTGAGCCTCAAGGTCGGTTTGAACTGCAAAGTCAGCAGTTGAAACTCACCAGCCACTCCTTGGAAACCCTATACAGGGTCACTGTGAGTCGGAACTGAGTGGACGGTACTTAGCAACAACAACAAGGTGGTATGTGGCTCCACTCCCAGAAACAGCAGCTTCCTGATTCTTCTTTGGGATCTGGCAGAGGTGGGTCTGTCCCGTTGTACTGTACTAGAGCAATCCTGTATAAGTCTGCTCCTTCAGCCCTTTCAAAGACTCTGTACGTGCCAAATTCCCAGTAGTATATCTTTTCCTCTTAAAACAGCTAGAGTGGCTTTGATTATATGTAACTGAATCCCAAATAATACTCTCTCAATTGGTTTTCCACGACTTTAGGGCAGCCCCAAGATTGTCTATTTTATAGCCTAAATGATTGTTACACAGATTTGATCATATTTCTCTACTGAAAACCAAACAACGCGCACCACAACAAAGCTCTATCTCTTTAACGTGATTGTGGTAGGCAGGATTTGGGCTTTGTCCTAGGTAGTATTCTCAAAATTACTTTATAGGACAGAATTGACCTTCAAATAGGGAGATTAACTGAGTGGACCTAAATAAATCACTTGAAAGCAGTTTCCCCAACTGGAAAAATAGAAGTCTGAAAGATTAAAAGCAAAAGGAGGAGATGATACAGCATCACCCACTGACGTATTCTGTGGAGGGGCCACACGCAAAACACAAGAAGCCCCAGAGTTGCGCTCCCACCCGGAATGAGCCTGTGCAGTGATTCTTGCCCAGAGTCGCAGGCTGTGGAACCCTAAGCGCTAACTGCAAGCTGAGTTCTGCTGGGCCTCTGAACCCCAGACACTGTGAGATGATAAATAGATGCCTTCAGCCAACAAATGTGTGGTGATCTGCTACAGCAACAATACCAAATTAATACAGTGATATAAAGGACCCTTCATAATCTGGTTTCTTCACTATTATCAATTTTTGCATCTCCCTTACTACTGTTTTAATATTAAAAAATGGCATTTATGTATTTGATGACCAGCAGACTTGTGGGCAAGAGTTGATGTTGTTAAGTGCCATCAAGTCAGTTCTGACTCATAACGACCTGTATAGGATTTCTGAGGAGCAGCTGGTGGGTTTGAACTGCCAACCTTGTTGTTCACAGTCCAAGAGGCTAAGAACCTGTATTTCACTCTTCATTAAACATAAATGAAGAAATAGTAT